TGCACGTTGGACAATTTGTCTGATATTCTTTTTCTTCTTCAGACCGGCAGTACTTATATTTTAATTCTCTCTCGTCAAGTCCTCCAGTTTTGATTTAAACCACAAAGTTACCCTACATCGAGCTGAGGATGTATCGAAAACAGCTTCTCTACGTCCAAGGTGGGGGTGGGGGGTGGGGGGGTTAAGGTCTGCGTACACATGTTGTTGCTCAAACAAGACGAGATTTTATTGTTTCAGATTTAATAATATTCTGCTTCGTGTTTCATTTCACACGTTACAAGAGCAAATTTAACTGAAGATACTTTGAAATCTTAGTGATCTAAATATGCAATTTATAAGGATCTTATCTATAAATCAAGGAGAAGGACAATCTAATTTATATGGAATTGCAAGCTCACCATCAAACTTTTTGCGCAAGAAATCATTTCTGAGATTAAGCATGCGAAATGCTGCATGAAGATCTGTCAAGAACTTCAAAACCTTCCGTGGGCAATCATAATCCCCAGCTGTCACTTGGTTCACCACATATCTAGGCTGCAACACCATTACCACATGATTCATCAATCCAATAACAGATATTATCAATAGCTCTTTCTAATTAGTTTGGCTAAGAATCCATTGCTTGAAAATTTTGCATATCAATAGCATTATGACATATTCACAGCTAGCCAAAACCAACTTCCAGAAATGCTTTAAATTCATGGATTACCACATGAGAAGAAAGAACTGAAGACCACCTTAGGCATATTCCTCTATACATTAATTTTCACACAAGCGGAGCTTTGAGTCAAAACCATGACAGAGCTACCAAGATTAAGTTAGTCATATAAAACAGAAAATCAAATATATTCTGGGTTCTAGTTTTTGTGCTTACCAACTCATTGGACATGAAACAAATACCTGCCAGAAAAAAAAAAGTATTAGCACCTCCAAAAAATTGAATCAAACAATACAACAATGGCTGCATATGCATAATGAATTCCTTAAACTTGTGGTAGACTAGAGCCTCAAACCAACAGAACCAAATAATCTCCTACTCTTTAATTATCCTTGAAACATTTCCAATAGAATAACAAGAAGTTTACCCATCAAAAAAGAAAAAGAGCAAGTTTTATACCACATATTTCTGGAAAACTAGAGACACTCACCAATAAGATAGTCATCAACATCAAGTCCAAATTCTGTTGGTGTCACTACAAAGTAGACAAGTATGAAAAGTTAAAAACTTAAAATATTCTCTAATCCAACCAAAAGTTAAACACAGAGATCAAAACTGATAGAACTAAACATAATGTTTTTTTTAAAAAAACAAATCAACATGATTTTCAGTTTGAATATCTAAGAGTCTATTCACATCCACAGGCAAGGAAGAATTTTTCTGCAGAAGCAGCCATTTTAAGAGATTATTTTTGCTTTCAGTTTTCAATTGGCTTTTGCTTTTAAGAGGTTGACACTCCCTCATTAGCATTTTATTTTTTTGAGAAGGGGCACCCTCATTAGCATTTGCTGTCAGAGAATTCAAATATAGAAGTTCTGAATCAATCCCCCATAAAGAAAGGTAACTCTAAATGTTCAAAGATATATCATTTGAATTCACATTAAATTGGTTAAGAAAGTAAATTCTAAGATAGGGAAAGATATTGAGAAAAATGAAGTTCCCTTCGAGCGCCATGGGGTACAAAGAAACAATATTGGCAATTCAAATGAAAGATTGGCACTCCAAATATGAGAACAGCTAAACATCACAAGAAAAACAAAATGCTGCAGGCCTGCACCTGATGCAACTAGTGTAGAGTATTAAATAATTATGTTATACTAAAAAATACCAACGCCTTTTGCCCTAGAAAATATCCAAGGACTTCTTGGGAAAAGGAAATATAATAAACAGAGAAAAACTTACACCCAAGTTTCTCTTCAACTTCACTGTGCAGAACAAGAGTCCCTGTTTCTAACCAATGCATAAAAGCAAGCAATGAGACCACGGTTTGGGTTTCACTCTTCCAATCACCATGATACCTAATCCACAAAAAAATGCACAATTACAAGGGCTGAAAGGAAACAATAAAATAATCTAATATTGACAAATCAAGTAAAAAGGGTAATGGTTCCAAGTATACTCACCGGTAATACTGACCAGGGCATTCATGTACAATTTCTGCAAGCCGACTGTAAAGTTCCTTCAGCACTCCAATCTGAGACTTAGCCTTCTCGATAACCTCTGTTGCAGCATAGAGAACAGAACAATATTACACTATGCCACATGTCAAAAAGGAAATATATGCTAATAATAACAACTGCAAGAAAACTAGAAAAGTTGTCTAGACATTTCTTTTCTGAATTTCCTTTCCATGAACTAGTAAAATTATATATATATATATATTTTTTTTTTATTTTATTATTGATAACCGAGAAATCCGTCTGTGACCCGCCCTTTGGACCAATCACAACCTTCTAAACTCGGTGGATAATGGGCCCGCCCCTCTACCCTTCTCCACTTACATACCAGCTAATGCAATTATCGTGAATTGTATTTTTGGAAGTTATTAACAGAAAATTTGAAGAGTAGAGCTCTTGGTTAGTGATTTGAGTGGATGCAGATTATAGACTACCACAGTGCAGGTACTTTTCTCTTCTTTTTTTTCGTTTTTTAATAACCGAGAAATCTCCGAGAGCCAATGGCGCACAATTTGAAACTCGATGAATATTGCGCCCTCTGCTCTATCCTTCTCCATTTAAATACCAAACATTTTGTCCATAGTCAGGTTCAAGCCTATGATGTGGACCTAACCCACACATCATGGGATCTCTTACCACTAGACCAAAGCCCTGTGGGGCACAGGGAAGATACTTTTTCTCTTATTCTAACTAGTTTGAACTTTTTCTTTTTAAAGAAACTATCATTTATATCTCTATGAACTCCTATACAGTTTGATTCCCAATGAGTCAGGGAAAGTAATATTTTGAATTGTTCACTACTGATACAATTTATGATGAAACCTGTATGAATATTGTTATAAGCACTTACCTATATTACATATTGATTGGCTTTATGCATGCTAAGTAAAGAGAAATATCATTTCCTTTCATCGATTCAGTTCTAATTCCTACAATCTTAAGAATGGATGTTCTGTACTGCTTTAGAGTTTAGGGGTCTTTTTATTCCCTGTACAGCTCTAGGGGTCATAGACTCATAGTTAGTTGGATAACTAAGAATGCGGATAAGAGCAATCTCGCATTTGATAGTCTTTTTCCTTCTTTTTTGGGGTGATTATGTGCGCTTGGATCATAGTTATGGCATAATGACATATTCTCCCTCTTATTTAAGTAAGTCAAAGAATGACCTTCTCTTTTGCATCACCCTTTATCCTCGCCTTTTCCCTTCCCCATCAGTGTCCTCAAAGCTCAGTTACCCTCCCCGTGTTTCTTCCGGCAATTCCCACCAACTTGTGTTTCTTAGTTTATGTTGCTGTTTTTCCTCTTCTCTCGAAAGTCACATTACGGTTATCTTTTAAAAGAAAATTCGGCTTCGTTAACTAATAGAGATGATACTGCAGATGAAAAACCAATGGTTCAAAGAATTTGATTTATCTTATTATTCAAGTATGAACTTGCATGGAGGAAATTCTAAAACCAAAAGCTAACATTTTTTCAAACTATATATGGCCATGCTACTAAGCAGGTAATCATAGAAGTAATTAATTTCATTACATTTTATCTTAGCTCTTTCAAATGATTTGAGTTCAGAATTTTTAAAATTGTGTGAGATTTGCATTCTTTCAAATGTGAAGTGCTTCATGCCCTCAGCTCACCAACAACATCACTCAATCAGTGTGAAAATAGACAATTCCTAAGACATTTACACACTTTCAGATAAATATTTTAATCTTCACTTGCTCCTGATGTCCATGCTACAAATATACTCAAACTAAAAGCATCTTATCCATACATAGGCACAACTAATCTTAAAGCAAATAAAATGCAGCACAAACATTTCAAAACTCAACCTACAAACATACTGTAATAAGATGTGAATAATATAAAGAAATTGAAATTCTGAAACTGTGAAGGTTATTCAGAGTTAAAATTACATCTAACATTACAAAAACGCAATAAATAAAGTACTAATTTTGATTTTTTGAAATACCAGCAACAGGGCGAGACTGATGAACGAGAAGAAGGCTAGCATAAATGAGCCGAGTAACTGAATCTATCTCCGTCGCGACAGCTCGTATCCGTTCCCGGATATTCCCCGATTCCTCCAAATGATGGCGGAAGTCTTCAAACTGTTTCTCCAGTTTGTCCGACGAAGGATTGAGGAAATCACCACCCGCCATTAGAGTAGAGAGAAATGTAGAGTGAGAACGAGCTTTGCAGAGTGAAGAAGTCGAAGAGACAAAGGTGGAATTGGGAATGGAGAAATTTTGGGTAGAAATGAGAATGAGTGGGAAGAAGGGTTTAGGGTTTAACAAGTAATGAGAGAAAAGAGTATTTCGAAATGCCGATATCATGTTTGGGGATAATGGGCTATAATGCCGATATCGGTCACTATAGTTTTCTTCTCTGTTTTTTCAAAATAATTTTTGATGTTTGGTTAGAAAAAAAAATATATATTAAAATTGATAATAATATTAGCAAATTAGATATGGTAGTATTTTGTGATGAAATATTTGAATACGAAAAAGGATCATATTTGTCTGTGTGTTAATTGTCTTAAATAAGTTATAAGGATCGGGTGTTATATTTTTATATGATATGAAAGTCAAGTTTCTTCTGTTCGGACTTTTGGTGCACACTTCAGTTGGACTTGAGGTGAAGAGGGATGTTAGAGTCAATTAGAATCCTACATTGGTTGAGAAATGGACTCACGTACAGATTTGAATAATTCTTTTCTCATGAACTATCTTTTGGAGTTAAGTCTCGTGTCATCACGCGAGACCAATTTTCCAACTACCTCATCAACATGGAAACCAAAATGAGTATTAAATAAGATGAAAACAAAATTTAAGTGCAGAAAATCTTAGTGATCCTTATTATTAATAGATCACTTTTTATCATGTCATGGTTTCTAGCATTGGATAATCGGTATAGCCAATAACAGGATCTGATGTATAGAATGTCTCTCTATTATACTTGTTGAGAGGTGCATTTAGCTCAAATCGCTTTGGTAAATTTGGATTGGATATGAATAAACGTCCATACGCAACAAGATCAGCTCGATCTTCAACCACAACTCTGTTTCCATCTTCTCTATCGTAACCACCAGCTACTATAAAAGTACCTTTATATGCCTTCCTCAAAGGTACAAGGCTTTCACCACATTCAATTTTTTCGCAAGCTGTTTTCATCCTAGGCTCAACTACGTGGCAATACGCGATATCATACTTGTTCAACGATTCCACCATGTAAAGTCCCAAAGCACTAGGGTTGGTGTCTCCTGATTCATTATAATTTGCAAATGGGGAAATCCTTATACCAACTCGGTCAGATCCTATCTCATTTGCAACTGCTTCAACTATTTCTAGTGCAAATCTACAACGATTCTCTAAAGACCCTCCATATTTATCACTTCGATCATTAACTTGATCTTTCATAAACTGATCGATGAGATAGCCATGAGCACCGTGGATCTCAACCCCATCAAATCCAGCTTCAATTGCATTTCTAGCAGTAAGTCGAAATTCGTTCACAATTTGAGGAATTTCATTTGTTGTTAACCGTCGTGGTGGTGTAAAGTGTGCAACATCTATGCCATTGGAAAGAATTTGAGGTGCTAATAGTTTGTCTGTGCAGGAGATAGGATCCTGTCCATTGGGCTGAAAATCTGTAGAAAAGTGTTAGGAGAAAGACAACAGAGAAATCATGGCTTTGGGTGTGAGATCGATCACTCTCTTTCGAGCGTTATTACAAGTACAATAAAACCTCACTAAATTAATACTCAGTTAATTTAACCTTTTTAAGATAATATTTTTCTCCGATTCCGACTTGGGCCAATGGAAAAAATCACTCATTTAGATAAGATGATAAGATAATATATTTTCTGAAGACCCCTATATAAATATATGGTCCCATTAGTATTATAAATTAATAATTCGTTAAAAGTACAAATATATCTAAGATAATTTAGTGAAACATGATTCTATTGTGTTCTATTTGTTTGTTAAAATTTAACTATTGTTGAAGCTCATCTCTAACTTTTCTTATTGCATCCAAAAGTTTTTGTGTTGTCTTTTTGAACTGTACCATAAAATTGTGAAGAATTCTAAATGTAATAAGTGTTTCCTGATCGTAACTTGTTCCAAAGATATTGTATCATCTTCTACTTTATCATCAATATTTTTTTTAATGGTATCCACAATTTCTTCTAAGCTCTGAACCTATGAACATGTTTCATTTTCACCCATCCAACAAATTATTAACGTCCATTTTATTGCGGTAACCGATCGAGATCATTAATCATGATTAAAATAATATCTCTATAAAATAATAATATCTCTGAGATTTCATCATCATACGAATTTTGCGGTGTTGAAACACTCTTTAAATTAATAAATATTAAGTAATTGATTAAATAATATCTCTATAAAATAATAATATTTCATGGTCCCACCTATATTAATTTAGTGAGGTTTTACTGTGTATTCTTTTAGGAAATACAAGGGTGTGTGTTTGGTTCTACGGTTCAATTTTATCAAATTTCGATTAGGTTTTTGATTTTGAAAAAGTGTGCATCGAATACCGAATCAAATTAATTCGGTTCGATTATGTTTTGTTTTTTCTACTTCGATTCGATATTTTTAAAATGATATTTTGGTGTGAATAAAAAATAAAATGAGGCCCAAAATCAAAATTTAAAGACTATGTCAAGTGATTATGTGATCATTTACCTTTGTTGGAAACTCTACCAGCATGCCAAATTTGGGAAAAGAAGATTCCTCCTTTAGCATGAACTGCATTTACAATTGGTTTCCAAGCCTCTACTTGCTCCTTTGTCCATAAACCAGGTATATCATTGCACCCTATACCAGTCTCAGAAATTACTGTGGCCTCTCCTATTAGAAGACCACCTTTTGTAGTTCTTTGTGAGTAGTAAAGTATAGCATGTGGTTGAGGAATATTGCCATAAGATCTTTGCCTTGATAATGGTGCCAATACAACTCTATGACATAACTCAAAGTTTCCCATCTTATAAGGGGTCATTAGAGGGATCATGTCTACTTCTTTCTCTTCAACAACTTTATTTTCCATTTTTTTTGGTCATAGTATAATCTTTGAAATAATTATGGATATATTTATAGATAACAAAGGAGAAATTGGTGTATAAGAGACTATTTTTTTCTTTCTCCATCCACCATATGAACAATGGCGGAGTCAGAATTTTTATTAAAGAGTGTCAAAATATAAAGTAAAGATATATATATTATCTCAATTAATTTGTAGGCGGGATGGGGTGGGCAGTGAGGGTTCAACACTGGTATGGAGAAGACAATAAACTTGAATTGTCACTTATAAACTTATTTGTTTTTTGTTTTTTTTACTTTAATAGAGAAATTATTTTTCTTATTTTTGAGAAATTTATTTTCATAGAGAAAATAATTTAACTAACCAGACATGCGAAAATTGAAAAATATAATTCTCAAAAATGTTTTGCGTACCAAACACACAAACGTCTCTATTTTGTACAGAGAAGATGATAAGGTATTTATGGTAATGAATAAGAGTGGAAAATAATGCGGACGTAAAATGTTTGATAGAAATAAATTAGAACAAATAGCTTGATTGAATTGGACAAGTATTGACTTATGGTGGTTCAATTTTTGAAGTAACATATAAAAGGATAAATTAACGATGTATAATTGACTTTTCAATCTTATTATTTCTCTAAGGGTATAAAAGTAGTTGAAATAATAGTTTTTATTAATTATATTTTCTATCAAAAAATATTGATTCAAATATATGTATCTTCAAGTGCATTTTACCCAAACATGCATTATATTCATTCAGCATATTTGATATTAATTTCATCCTTGCGTATATCTGGTATCAATAAATTTGTTATCTAATAATAAATATATTTGTACATAAATACATGTATATGATTCAAATATATGTATATATGATATCAAACATATGTATTGATATACAATGTATTTGTGCATAGATACATGAATCTAGTATCAAATTAAAATATGCATAATACATACTATAACCGAGCAAAAAAGGATGGAGAGAGTAAGCGAGAGAAAGGGGAGGAGAGGGATATGCAATTATTTTAAAGTATATAGGGATTTAGTAATATGATAAGAATATTTGTCTAATTAAGTAGTTTTTCACAAAAGTATTGCTTGTAAGTAGATCACAAAAAATACTATAAAAAGGCGAGGAGGAAAAATCTTAAAAATGATAACCCATAATGTCACCTAAAAAAAAATCTTTGAAAGTCAATAACAGACCGTTCAAAATTCGATGGATGATGTGTCTGCTGCTCTACCCTTCTCCTCTTAACCACCAAACATTCACATTATTCAACTCTTCACTTAAAAATAATAACCCACCATGTCAGCTAAAAAAAAGAAACTTTAAAAGTTAATGACGCACAGTTCAAAACTCGCTGGATAATGTGTCTACTACTCTACCATTCTCCTCTTACACACCAAACATTCTCATCATTCAAATCTTCATTTCTTTTTAAAAGATTTGTGATATTTTTCTGTTATAACTTTTTATCACCACGAATATATTACATAACACCACCTAACATCTAACAATATTTTCATTGAACTAAAATAGAAGGTCATGGGCTAACTATTAGAGGGAGGGCCCAATTTTCACGAAGCATATTAGTATTTTTCAATCTATACGATAGAAAAAATAGTCATAACCCCTCAACAATGTCCTCAAATTTGAAATTTCATGATAGTAATTAGTATTTTTAAAGACGGGTGACAACTATACTAAAGGCTTAACAAAAAGAAACTGAAATTATATTTCTTCAATAGAACTTGATAGATACATTACAATGTTGTTTCTGATCACTAGTTACCAGGGATATCCAATCATGTCGTGGTTTCTAGAATTGGATAATCAGTATAACCAACAACAGGATCTGACGTATAAAATGTCTCTCTATTATACTTGTTAAGAGGGGCATTTAGCTCAAATCGCTTTGGTAAATCTGAATTAGATACGTATAAAATGTCTCTCTACTATACAAGGCTTTCAGAACATTTAATTTTTTCGCAAGCTGTTTTCATCCTAGGCTCAACTACGTGGCAATACGCGATATCATACTTAATCAACGATTCCACCATGTAAAGTCCCAAAGCACTCGGGTTAGAGGGGTCATTAGAGGGATATTCATGTATTGTTTCTCTTCAACAACTTTATTTTCCATTAATTCTTGCTAGTGGTGTAAGCTTTCTTGTTAATGAGTTGGTAATGATTATGGATATATTTATAACAAAGGTGAAATTGGTGAATAATGGACACAATCCAACCAAATGACAACTTGTATCAAGTGTGGTACTCGAGCCAATTGATGATATTTCATATCAGGCGTGGTATCCGTGCCAATGAATAATACATACAAGGTGTGGTACCTGTGCTAGCTGGGATTAGGGAGGATATATAGGTGGGTGGAGAGGAGACAATAAATTTGAACCGTTAATTATAAAACTTATTTCTCATAAATTTATTTAAAAAGCTACTTTCCTTATATTTGTACTTAGGAGCTAATTATTTTTTCTAAATATAAATATTTTCTGAAATTTTCCATTATGTGTCTTTATTTATTTGATAGGAAAGATGATAATGTATTTTGTGGTAATGAATGAGTTCTACAATAATGTGGACGTAAAATGCTAGAAAGAAATTAGAGGAAATAGCTTCATTGGATCCGATGTCACAATAATAACTCTAATAGTTGGTTTTTCACTGCTCCTTTTGTCCTGTATTAGATTGATATTTTCTATTTTACATGATAATTAAGAAATTATTAATAAATTGATCAATTTACTATTTTGCTCTTTGTTTATATTGATTAGCCTCTTGGAAAAAGAAATTTTAGATCTTTAAAATTTGTTTAGACCTCCAAAGGATCAAATTAATTATAGCAGGAAAATGAGAAAAAAATAATTAATTATATCCTAATTTAATAAATAATCAGATAATATGAGACAAATATTTTTAATAAGATACCCAATCTAATATGAGACGGAGAGTATTATTTCTCACTAGATGATAAGAGAGGAGCTCAAATATAAGAAGCAAAGTCTATATTTTTGAAGTCTTCTCTTTTGTTGTTTTGCTATGAATAGTAGTAATACTTATCGCCTATCGTTATCGGTGAATAACTATATAATTATTTTTGGGAAAAGGGTCTGAAAAATGTTTCAACTTTGGCCAAAATTATTGTTACGATACCAAACTTTGGAAATGACCTTTTACCCCTGTACTATTTAATAGTGTATTTTAAAGGTATATATGTGCCTATGTGGACATCATAAATATTGCACCATTTTAAATAGTAATGTGTCCACGTGGACACATATATACCTTTAAAATACACTATTAAATAGTGTAGGGGGATAAAAGGTCATTTCCAAAGTTTGGTATCGTAACAATAATTTTGGCCAAAGCTGAAACATTTTTCAGACCCTTTACCCAAAAGTTTTGGTGAAATAAATCGAAGTCCCTTGAAATTGGCAAATTTTATCCAAATTTAAAATTTAATTTTGTTGTGGTGCAAATTTAAATTTTATATTTGTTTAATTATCCCTTTTAATTTGTTAATTTAATAGTCACAATCTCTCTAAAAGCTCACAATCAATAAAAAAGTCCCACACGCACTATTTCCAAATGACTACCTAATGAATTAATGATTATGAAAATTGGAAGTCATATGCAAATGGTATTAAATACTCTTTAAAACCTTTAACTCTTTTCATTGGTCAAGAAGGAAAAAAGACATCGTGGTCCTATTGCTAGACTGCCCTACCACCCTACCCCACTGTGCAAAATGATATGCTTTACAACTGTAATATTTGACTTTGCGTGACATTATTAGAGATATCAAATCCGTTCATCTGACCGATCAATCATCAAAATCAAAATTTACAACAATTACGTTAAGGGTAAGTGAGCATTTATCTTCCTTGATTCCAACCATAATTTGAAATTTCCCCATCAAAATTCACATTTAATTGGTTAAGAAAGTGAATTATAAGATAGGGAAAGTAAATTAACATTTAAATTTCACAAGTGAACCCCCCTTGACATTAATGTCCTGAAACTTTACATGTAGAATTTGAAATTTCACGATAGCAAATATTTTTAAAGACAGGTGATAACTGTATTTTTACATGAGGCTTAACAAAAAGAAATCAATAGAACTTGATAGGTTCATTACAATGATGTTTCCAATCACTAGTTACTAAGGATAATAATAAAGATGTTCATCAATACATGATCATATTCTTGGACTTACTTCATAAACTTTTAAAAAATACTTAACTTAAATGTAGTATTACTATACAGTATTTGTAGAAGCCTTTATAATCCAAATTTAACTAAGGTGAATCAACATACCATGTTACTTTAACAATTGAGCCATCTTTGAGGTTGTATGTAGACAAGGGTTCATCATATTTCATTTCAATTGAATTGTGTTCAAGTGTGTAATACAAATCTTCACCAAAATTGGCTTCAACAATTTCAATCTATACAATCGAAAAAATAATCATTGTCATGAAATTTTATATTCACAATTGAACCCCTCTACAATGTCCTCGAATTTGAAATTTCATGATAGTTGAACCCCTCTACAATGTCCTCGAATTTGATATTTCATGATAGTAAGTATTTTCAAAGATGGGTGACAACCATACTTGAGGCTTAACGAAAAGAAACTGAAATTATAATTCTTCAATAAAACTTGATAGATTCATTACAATGTTGTTTCTGATCATTAGTAACCAAGGAATCCAATCATGTCGTGGTTTCTAGAATTGGATAATCAGTATGGCCAACAACATGATCTGGCGTATAAAATGTCTCTCTATTATACTTGTTAAGAGGAGTATTTAGCTCAAATCGCTTTGGTAAATTTGGATTAGATATGAATAAACGTTCATACGAAACAAGATCAGCTCGATCTTCAACCACAACTCTGTTTCCATCTTCTCTATCATAACCACCAGCTACTATAAAAGTACCTTTATATGCCTTCCTCAAAGGTATAAGGCTTTTAG